GGCAAGATCTCATTCCTTTTGATGGCTGCATAATATTCCATTGTATATATATACCACATCTTCTTTATCCATTCATCTGTCGCTGGACATCTTGGCTCTTTCCACAGTTTAGCTATTGTGGACATTGCTGCTATAAACATCGGGGTGCACGTACCCTTTCGGATCCCTACTTTTGTATCTTTGGTTTTCCTCACTTTCTTGTGATTAAATTTAACATGGTGATTCTCCCCCCTTTCTCTTCTTTCTTTTGGTTATGTTTTTTGAAGTATAGTTTACAAAAGTAAAAATTCACCTTTTTAATTCTACAGATTGATGAATTTTACAGGTGCATGGAATCATGAACCACAGCCACAATCAAAATATAGAACATCCTTCATCCTAGAAAGTTCCCCTGTGGCCTCTTGCAGTTCATTTCATCCCCTTATTCCCCGTTCCTGTAACCACTGGTGTGATTTCTGTCTCCATAGTTTTGTCTTTTCTAAAATGTCAGCTATTCGAAGTCCTGCAGCCTGTAGCTTTTTATGTTTGGCTTCTTTAACTTAGTAAATGCTTTTGAGGCTCATCCATGTAGTTTGTTCTTTATTACTGAGTAGTATTCCATTTATCTGTACCATCATTTGTTTATCCATTTATCATTCAGTGGACAGTTAGGTTGTTTCCAGTTTTACATTATCACAAGTAAAGCTGCTAGAATATTTACATTTTGCCTGTGGATATTCCAGTTTTGTAGACATATGTTTTTGTTTCTCTTGGGTAAATATTTAGGACTCAGATAGCTGGGTCACATGAAATGTGTATGGAAAACAGATTGGCAGTTTCTTATAAAATGTATATGCCTTTTGTGTATTCCTACCAATGATGTATGTGATTTCGAGTTTTTCTCCATCATCACTAGTGCTTGGTGTTGTCAGGCTGCTTTGATTTTTGGCTATTCTGGTCAGTGTTTAGTAGTATCTCATTATGGTTTTAATTTGCATTTTCCTAATGACTAATGATGTCATGTGCTTATTTGGTATCCTTATAGCTTCTTTGATGCAGTGTCTGTTCAAATCTTAAGAACCACAGGAGGTTTGAGCTGAAAAGATTTAGAGATTATCTGGTGTGGGTTCTTATTTTGCTAGAAGCAAAATTAAGCTCAGAGAGAAGGATTGACTTGTCTAAGATAGCTTAATTAGTTTATGGATAAATAAATATAAAACTCAGTTGTATGGGGAAAAAGCAATTGAACTTTTTTCTTTTCATAATTTGAAAATAGAATTAATATATTTTCATAATTTAAAAATAGAACTAATAGAAAAATAGAATTAATGTATTAACATATAAAATATGGTAATATATTTTATTATCTGAGCTTTGGAAAAATTTATAAAATAATATTGGCATAAAAATATTGGTCATAATTTAAAAGAAAGAAAAACTTCATTCAGTTTCTTAGAGTTATAAAAGGAAAAGGTTCTGCCATTGGTTGAATATGTCAGCTTACTATAGAAATTTCCTTTATGTTACTGCAATGAAGTTTTTGTTCATGGATGAGAAATAGGGAACTTACAGGAAATATAGTCAGTCTATAGATATATGGTTGTTTTTCTTCTTTTGCCTATGATAGAAATTATAAACCATGTAATTGTTTTTATTTTTCCACCCAGTTAATTGGAAATAATTAAACATTATTTTTGAGTTCATTTTTTTAAGGTTCCTCATTTTAAGTTCCTTGTTCTTTTTCTTATGTTGCATTACTGATGTATCTTTAATAAACATGCTCTGTTTGTTTGTTCTCTCTTCAATGAATGTCAGTTAAAGAGAAATTGACCGCGGATCCAGACAGTGAAATAGCTACAACCAGCCTAAGGGTTTCTCTACTATGTCCAGTAAGTGTTAACTAATACTTGCTTTCCAGAAGATTCAGCATACATTTTTCTCCTTTTATGAAGTATTTCCAGTATTTGCAAAATGATGTTTACTTTTGAAATATGCCCACCTTTGTCACAGTTTCTGAAAAGTAGAAAGACATTATTATTTAGTCATAGGATTTGGAATCTAACCAAAATTTTAAGTCTGTAAAAATTTTCTACTCTTAGTAAACTGTGTTTAAATATTGCTTGTGATTAATGATTCTCTCTCAGACTCAAGTGTAAAGTCTTCAAATAAGGAATGGGCATTATCTTGGTATATTTATTAAAATTGTATTTTAAAAAATAGTATCATTTTGAATAGAAATCTAGCCACGATTTACCCATACATTCAGTTTAACCATTTTGCCAACAATGACTACATTGTAAGACTCCACCAATGAAAAACTGTTCTATTTATCCTGAATAACTGAATTGGTTATGCATATAAAAATAACCTAGAAATATTTTTAAACCAGAAAATGAGGTCAAAATCAATCATTTGTACAAAATGGATATAAGGTCCAAAACATACCAGATGATTAAACTTGTAGTGAAAAAGTTTCCCCCCAAAACGTGTTAAGATCTGTTTCTTAACCAGTTTGATGTTAGATCCACCAATTGTAGGAGTGGTAATTGAATGTGGCTTTCATACAGAAATATGTGAAAAACTAGGAGTAAATTACTTTGACATTTTAATTACCTTTTGTTCTATAATTAATCAAATTAATCATATCTAAATTGGGGAGAAAGTATGAAGAATAAGAGGACACAGCTGTTTCCTGATTTGCCTGGATTGTTGAAAGCTTTTAATATTGAAATCCTACTAATCTAAGATGAAGATGAAGTTATTGTATTCTTAAACAAATAATTTAAACAGAAACTAAATTTTATTTGTCCTACATCTTAGCCTTTTGTAATTTATAAAATCGCAAACACAGATGAAAAAGTCATTAGCTCACGAATTAGTTTATAATACTGTATTTGATGTAGCTCTTAAAAAACTTTTTTGTTGAGCGCCTGGGTGGCTCAGATGGTTAAGCGTCTGCCTTTGGCTCAGGTCATGATCCTGGGGTCCTGGGATCAAGTCCCACATCTGGCTCCTAGCTCAGCAGGAAGCCTGCTTCTCCCCTCCCCCTCCCACTCCCCCTCCTTGTGCTCCCTCTCTCGCTGTCTCTCTCTCTGTCAAATAAATAAATAAAATCTTTAAAAAAAAAAACAAAACTTTTTTGTTTTATAATACTGCTAAGGGAACCCCTGTTCATTATTAGGCTTTTGTAAAATTATAGAAATACAGTGGAGTTAATAAAACCCCCAAATCCTATCACTTTGTATATATCCTTCTATCTTTTTATTCCTTACAATAAATCTTTTTCTTAGGGAAAATATTTTGATTCCAGTCTTTTTAATGTTGTTATTAAAATTCTTTCCCAAATATATGATGCAATCATTGACAGAACTGAAAGGAGAAATAGGAAGCAAAATAATAGTAGAAGACTTGATACCCCACTTTCAGTTATGAATAGAATAACCAGACAGAAAGTCACTAAAGAAGCAGAAGACTTAAACACTATAGACCAATTGGACCTTTCAATATATATAATACCCCATCCAACAACAGCAGATTACACATTCTTCTCAAGTGCACATGGAACATTCTTCAGTATAGACCATGTGTTAGACCACAAAACAAGCCTTAACAAGTTTAAGTCATACAAAGTATCTTCTTTGACCACAGTGGGATGAAACTAGAAATTAACAGCAGAAGGAAAACAGGAAAGTCCACAAATCGGTGGAAATTAAACAACACACTCTTATAAACAGCCAAAGAAGTTGTCACAGGGAATTTAGAAAATATCTGGAGACAAATGAAAATACAATACTCCAAAACTTACGGGATGCAGCAAAAGCAGTAGGAAGAGGGATGTTTATAGCTGTTAATACTTACATTAAAAAAGAAGTAAGATCTCAAATCAACTATCTTAACATTATGCCTCAAGATGCTAGAAAAACAAACTAAACCCAAAGTCAGCAGAAGGAAGGAAATAACAAAGATTAACACAGAGATAAACGAAACAGAGAATAGAAAAACAATAGAAAAAAAAAAAAAACGAGACCAAGTTTCATTGGTTTTGGTTTTTCAAAAAGATCAACAAGATTGACAAACCCTTAGCTAGACTAAGAAAAAAAGAGGGGGGACTTCAATAGCCAAAATTAGAAATGAAAGAGAAGGGGCGCCTGGGTGGCTCAGATGGTTAAGCGTCTGCCTTCGGCTCAGGTCATGGTCCCAGGGTCCTGGGATCGAGTCCCGCATCAGGCTCCCTGCTCTTTGGGAGCCTGCTTCTCCCTCTGCTTCTCTCTCTCTCTGTCTCTCAAGAATAAATAAATAAAATCTTTAAAAAAAAAAAAAAGAAATGAAAGAAGATAACTACAACTGATGAACTGATACAACAGAAATAAAAAGGATTATAAGATACTACTATGAACAATTATGTGTCAACAAACTGGATAACTTAAAAGAAATAAATTCCTAGAAACATAACAACCTACCAAGACTGGATCATGAAGAAATAAGAAATCTGAACAAACCTATATCTAGTGAGGAAATTGAAGCACCAATCAAAAATCTCCCAACAAAGAAAAACCCAGCACCCCATGGCTTCACCAGAGCATCCTCCATAATGTTTAAATAAAGTACATTTAACACCAAGTCATTTTCAAACTCTTCCAGAGAATTGAAGAGCAGGGAATATGCTCATACTCATTCTCTGAAGCTAGTATTACCCTGATCCCTAGACTAGACAAAACCAAACCACTAAAAAAAAAAAAATCACACCGTGACCAAGTGGGATTTGTAGCTGGAATGTAAAGATGGTTCTGCATACAAAAAGTCAATCAATGTGGGGCGGCTGGGTGACTCACTTGGTTAAGCATCTGCCTTGGGCTCAGGTCATGATCTCCAGGTCCTGGGGTCGAGCCCCACATCAAGCTCCCTGCTCAGCAGGTGGTCTGTTTCTCCCTCTCCCTGTGTCCCTTCCTACTGTTCACACACACTCTCTCTCTCTCAAATAAATAAAATGTTTTTTAAAAAAATCAATGTAATATACCACATTAACAAAATGAAGGACAAAAACCACATGAGTATCTCAGTGGATTCAGAAAAAGCATTTTGCAAAGTTCAGTACTCTTTCATCATAAAAACACTCAACTAATAGGAACAGAAAGAAGCTTCTGCAACATAATAAAAGCCATATATAAAAAGCCGACAGCAAACATGATACTCTACAAGATAAGAATGCCCACCCTCATCACTGCTATTCAACACAGTACCAGAAATTCTGGCCAGAGCAATTACACAAGAAAAAGAAATAAGACATACAAATTGGAAAGGAAGTAAAATGATCTCTGTTCATAGATGTCATGATCTTTTATGTAGAAAACCCTAAAGATTCCACAAAAAAACAAAATAGTGTTACAGGATACAAAATCAAGATACAAATTTAGTTGTGTTTTTAAACACTAACAGTAAACAGTCCAGAATGGAAATTAAGAAAACAGTCCTATTTACAATAGCATCAAAAAGAATAAATTACTCAGGAATAACCTTAGCCAAGGAAACAAAAGATTTGCACACTGAAAACTATAAAATACTGCTGAAAGCAATTAAAGACATAAATAAATGGGAAGATATCCCAGGTTCATGGATTGGGAGGCTGATTATTGTTAAAGTATCTATACTACCCGAAGTGATTTACAGATTCAGTGTAATCCCTATCAAAATCCCAGTGGCATTTTTTTGCAGAAATAGAAAAAAAAGTCCTACTAAAATTCCTGTAGAATTTCAAAAGACTCCATAGAGCCAAAAACAGTATTTTAAAGAGTACAAGTTTGAGCCCTCACATTCCCTGATACCAGAATATACCACACAGCAACTGTAATTAAGATAGTGTGGTAAGGACATGAAGATAGATAATGTAGACTAATGGAACAGAAGAGAGAACCTAGAAATAAACTCTTGCATTTATGTGCCAAGTTGACCTTTCAACAAGAGTTCCAAGACTACACAAGGAGAAAAGACAGTCTCTTCAACAAAGGGCGTTGAGAAAACTGGATATTCACATGCAAAGTAAGGAAGTTGGGCCCATTCTTTATACCACATGCAAAAAAGAACTCAAAATGAATTAAAGACCTAAAACATAAGACCTTAAACTTTTAAACTCCTAGAAGAAAATGTAGGGGGATAGCTTCATTGAATTTTACAATGATTTCTTGGACATAACTCCAAAAGCATAGGCAACAAAAGCAAAAATAGACAAAGGGACTACACCAAACTTAAAAACTTCTGCATGTCAAAAAAAGAAAAAAATGAGAGTGAAAAGACAACCTATGGCATGGGAGCAGATCATGTATCTGATAAGGGATTAACAATATAAGAAACTTCTCCAACTCAACAACAACAGTAATAACCTGATTAAAAAATGGGCAAAGGACTTGAATAGACATTTTTCCAAAGAAGATTCACAAGTGGCCAACAAACATGGAAGGATGTTCTACATCACTAATCACTAAGGAAATGCAAATAAAGCCACATGGGTTATCACTTCATACCCGTCAGGATGGCCACTATCAAAAAACAAAAGATACCAAGTGTTGGTGAGGATGCAGAGACACTGGAACCCTTATGCCCTTTTGGTGGGAATATAAAATGCTGCAGCCATTGTGGAAAACAGTGTGCACATATCTCCAAAAAAGTAAAAATAGGTTTACCATATGATTCAGCAATTCCTCTTCTGGGTATATATCCAAAAGAATTCAAAGCAGGATCTCAAAGAGAAAATTTGCACAGCCATGTTCATTACAACATTCACAATAGCCAAGAGGTAGAAATAACCCAAATGTGTATTGGGCGATGAACGGATAAAGAAAATGTGGTTAAATACATACAGTGGAATACGATGAGCCATTTAAAAAGAAAACCC